ACATGCAGTGCAACTTCAACTTGGACAAAGAGCTATTGTATTCCGTGAAGTGGTACAAGGACGGTCACGAATTTTATCGTTATGCGCCCAGAGAGGCGCCCATGGTGGTAACGTTCCCGGTGGCCGGCGTAAACGTGAACGTGAGTGAGAGTTTGTGGAAACTGGGAAGGGGGGGAGGGAGGGTTGCTTTAGAATAGACACGGAATAGTCTCTTTCCTGACCTTCTCCGCCCTGATAGCGAGCGGGAGAACAGTCAGTCTTTGGCAACGTATTCTCTTACCGTAGCCGTAATATTCTGGCCTTTACATTAATTTGAGGCATTTCAGGTACTTGGCCCGAATATTTGCGCTATCGAATGTCGGTTGAGTATCCGATTTAAATTTAAACATCTCCAGCAATATTCGTCTTGTTGTTTGTTTCGAGTAGTGGCCGCGCGATGCCCGAACGCAAAAGATGGGATACCAGCTTCGTTTTAATTTTTATTTTCTTTCGCTAATTTTTTATGTTCAAGCTAGAGAGGTACAATATGCGCTCTGTATGTCTCTCACGGCGGGAAGAACCTTTTTGTTTCGAACCTGATAGAATCAGATTCGCTCCCACTGGCGTCGCGCATCGCGCAGGTTCCGCGTCACGCTCGATCGGGCACGGTAGCTTGTAATCGCGAATTTGCATTCAGAGGAACGAGTCCACCCAGAATTTGGTTGTCCTGAGCAACGTGAATCTGACGAGCTCGGGGAGGTATCGATGCGAGGTGTCGGGCGAGGCTCCCGCCTTTGAGACGGTCTCTGATCACGGGGACATGACTGTGGTCGGTAAGTATCGTCATGGAAACTAAATACGAGGGTGTGCAATTAAATTCGGATTGTATCGAAAATCCTGAAAACGCTTTCCATTCGACGCTACCGATAAACGCAGAGGTCGCGATCTAATCCAGAGTAAACAGTGGAAATTTTTATCCTTAAAGTAAACTACGGTTAGAGCGCGGTAGTTATTTCAGCGTAATTTGCGAGGGAGGCGAAACTAGATAAATGAATACGTACGTAGTAAATGCACGCGGTAAGATAAGGGGAATCTAATCCGGGGGAACGACAATAGCACTAGAAAGGGTCATGGCAACGTTTCAGTTCTACCTAACGAAGGACCGCAGATAACCGGTGGTCGTCCTACGTATCAGGTGGACGATGTCGTTCACATGAACTGCACGTCGGCACCTTCTAAACCACCTGCGATATTGGCTTGGTACATCAACGATGTGGAGGTAAGTGAGACACTTAAACCGTCGGTGAAATAATTGTGTAACCTTTGTTTCACGCTTCGCTAGACTTTTCCGAGCAACGCGGAGCGCGATGAAATGTGTACTTCTTGTTAAAAAGAAATAAAAAGACGGAGAGAGAAAGGGAGAGAGAGAGAGAGAGAGAGAGAGAGCACAACGGAGTTGCAGTATATGCAATTTGCTAAATAAATCAAAGCTTCATTCCGCTCTGTTTTCATTACAAAGACGCGTACGCGCGTACCGCGTGTCCATTTGCGTTAATCTCGAAAAATATTCCTCGATAATGTTCTAATTTAAAATTTATTTTGATAAAACACCAGTCACCGTTCCCAATTAAAGGTGAAATGCTGACTGTCTTTCGTGTCAACATTGAATATCGATTTGAAATCCATGACGTTTATGTACTTTTCATTTATCCGATCTCATTTATGTGTCGTTAATATTTACGGAACTGCATCCTTTTTTTTTCCAGAAAATTCGTTACCGCGTT